CTGTCTATATCTAAGCAGTTCAACACCACCCCGTCGGATTCAGCGTTCTGTTCGGCGGAAAACCGCCCGCTTGATGCATTGCACTTTGGCGTGTTGCTGACGCCGCGGGCGAGTTGCGAATGCCGCAGTGCATTTGGCAAATAAGAAAAATTGCATAAATTTCATTAAACTCGAAATGTCAAGCAACTGTCGAGCGAACACCTCCCCGGTCTCGGTACTTTAACCCCGCTCCATCAGCGAGGGTGTGTGGCTGTCTGGGCCACGGCCTGGCAATATTAAAAATTGTGCACCAAAATCCCCAAAGTAATTTATTAAGATGCCTCATGATGTTTCCTACGCTCTGTGTGTGTTATTTTTTTTTTTTTTATTATTTACGCGCCGCTGACTTCACGCCATTAAAAAACACGACGCAACCTACATAGCGGAGCCATTTTATATGCAAAAGTTGTTCGGCAGAGGGGAAAACTACAGGCAGTTGGCTCATTGGAGTCGAGCTTTGTTTCGCCTGCAAGAGAAGGGGACTCAAAAGACCGGAGACAAATAAAAAGGAGCCTGAGATGGGGTCACAGATACGGAGGACAATCCAAGTGGCCGACTAATGCATCTACAGAGCGCTTCCCGGCAGATTCTCGCATCCATCGTTAGCCGGCTGACATTTATATGAGCTTCTGGTCTTCTGGCCTTAGCCGTTTTTGGCTTTGATTGCAATTCGCAGTTTTTGTGGCCAAGGCATTGCCATAAATTACTTTGCATTGTGTCTGAGTGTGTGTGTGTGTGCGAGCGTGTGTATTTGAAAATCGTAAATCAAAAGGGGGTGAGAGACGGCGAAGAAATAGGAAGAGAAGCGGAAGGAGAAGGAGAAGGAAGTCTTTGCCACACTGCGTATGTGTGATATTTCATAAGCGTGTCATGAATTCTAATTACCTTCTGGCCATAGGAGCAATTGCCATTTCTACGCTCGGCTTTGCATTTTATGTGCACACAATTCATAAATTTCATTTTTTAAATTGCTTTTCAAACTTTTTACACCACGCACATTCACACACACACATACAATCTCACATTGGAAAATCACCTATGCGGCAGTTAAAATATTAAATTCCACAGCGCCACCAAACAAAAAGCGCATGAAATAAACAGAATTATTTAAAAATTAGTAGATAATGTGAATAATTAAATCCCACCAAATGCATAACTACATGATAGCATGCAAATTTAATGTGAAATACAATAATAACAATAATAAACATCATTTTTTTTGTCTCTATTGAATTTTTAAACGTTTCCTTTGTTGCGCTGTGCACTTTGTTTTCCCGCTTTTCCGTCCATTTCCATTCATCGGCGGCATTCAGTGGCAGCGATTCATTTTAGTGCTTCCATGTTAACGTCATAATCTGCGTTATGCAGTTTAGCGTATCAATTACCGCATAGCAGCAAAAACCGACATGTGAATAAAATATATTGCCGCGCTGTGCAGGCTCATCAGCCAGCGATATTTTCCATAGATAGTGAATGGGACTCGAATAAATAGGAAATAAATGCACTCCAAACAAGGGTCTCGACTACGCATCACCAGTTGGTAGCAAAATGCCGCCATTTTAAGCTGTAAACAACATGGTTTTTAGGTGTTTATCAATAATATTGCACATGGTTTTAAAATAGTAACCAGGGAAAAACACTGAGTTATGAGAAACGTAATACTGCTCTTTGAAATCTGTACAAAATAATATTTTTCAATTGAATAAAATATACCCTGATACCCACCATAAATGTAAAATATGAGAGCACAACTCGTTGTTGAAAATAAATTTACATTTTTTCGCAAACAAAAACAGCAGTCTCCTTGACGATATGAATAAAAAATTGAAATCTGCCAAATCAAAAATTGATTTGAATTGGCATGCGGTAAGTACAGTTGAATGGAACGGAGGGGTAGATTTACAGGGGGAATGGTGAATAATTGAAAGTGGGCAATGGTCAATGGTACAACGTTGATGACATGAAAAATTCATTAAACGCGTCAGGCCACAAAAAGGGGCCAACCACAATGGGTGCGGTCCTCGGTCCTCAATTGCGACTGCAAATGGCCAAAAGCGCGATTGATAGACGAGAAGAGGGAGATTTTGAGGGGAAAACGGTATTAGAAATCTCAAATTTTCACAAAATTCATTCCCAAACAGGTCGCAATACAGTGGACGCGGCAAAAGGAGTACTTGCCGATGGCTCAAATTGGCAAAATGCGGTTGCCAACAGTATGACAAACATTTGGCTCATTTTCGCTCGTCCAACGGCATCGGTTTAGTTAATAAATTAGTAAAATGTTCTCCTGGTGACAATGTTGTTGGTCGAGGCGGTTGTCAAACGGCTGGCGCGACAATGACTATCATAATAGAATTTTTGCTGCATTTTGTTCACATTTTCTGCATGAACGACAGCTGCAATAATAATAATGGGTGCTAAAGCAACGGCGGCATCCACAACATCGGCAAAACATCATCATCGGAGGCACCGAAAAATGTGTTAGACAAGCGCCAACATTAGCAAAGTGTTTGTAAAATATGCCAACAACTCGATTTGCCTGGTCGTTGTAAGCCCAACGCCCCCTGTTAACACCACCGAACCACCCACCCAACAACCCACCAACCCACCGACAATTTCATTCCAGCATTCTAAATATTTTGCGAAAAACCGAAAACATACACATGCATATGCGGATACATACTTGGATGGCTAACACACACACACACACACACACACACCATTGTTTGAGGTCGACGTTTTGCCGGCCGTCGCTTTTGACGTTGCAATAAATTTCCACGTTTATTTATTATTGCGCCGCACGTCACTGATAATTAAAAATAAATCAATTTTTAATGGCTCTGGTCTGGCGAGCTAAACCGAGGCCGGTAACCAGGCTCTTTTCGGATGAGTGGTCTCCGGTTAGGAGGCATCTGCACAAAAGCAATTAGCACACGTTTAGGATCGAAAAATGTAATAAGGTGCCGGCAGCGAGTCCTCGAATCAATATGCCACGGAATTCCGAACACGTAGCCCAGTTGGCAGACAGATACACGCTTTTAAGCAAATCAGTTTATGATCCAGAAACAATACTTCATCAGGCTGTGCCGCCTTTCACTTAGGCACAAACCGGCACATATGGCGCCCCGCATATTGGCCCAAACGTCCGACCATAAAGCTCAACTCGGCTCAGATCGAAACACAAAAAAAAAAGAAGGAGGAGGAGAAAATAAACAAAACAGATAGAGAACGTTGATGCGTCACGTTGTTGCAATCATTAGAGGCAGAGACCGAGTGTGTTTGGAATCGGCAAGCGTGGTGCGATATGTGCCGCTCAAATGGTTAACAATTGTCCTGGCCAATTGCCAGATCCCCTGTTGCCACTTATTGGATGGAGAAGCCTGTTTAATGAACTTTTTCAGCCAGCAGCTGGGTATGATTGGGGGTCGTGATGTTTGGCTTTAATTATGCAGTCAACTCTTTGCGGTTTATTTGAATGTCAGCCTTTTTATGGGCGACGCATCAGCAGAACTCATCCTTCCGACCGCCGTAAATCTAATAACATAAGCCCCGGTTCCCAGATGCCCGTTCCCGGTTTCCAACTTGCAGCTTCCAGTTCCCAGTAACAGTCACAGTTACAGTCACAGTCACAGCATGGGAAAAAGTCAGTGAGCCTGTTATTTATATGCACGCATAAATATCAGGGCCGACTTCTGACCACAGTCGACTTGGCAACCGCAGAAAATGGCATAAAAGTCAACATGTTGAACAGCAGCTGAAAAAATATATAGCCCCAGATATTATGCCATAGTGATGCGTGCTCAGCGTGTCTGTGTGTGTGTATCTGTGTGTGTGTGGGACTTTTCATATCTGGCCAGGCTATAAAGTATAAATTACGGCAAATGTGTTACGCAGCGCAACAGTCCTGGCCACGTACAACTAACTAACAACTATTAAGCCTGTGTGTCTCTTGGCCTGGCTTTTGTGGCTCTGCCTTTGCCTCTGCCGCTGGCTCTGACTTCATCTCCGGGTGAAATACGGCCAAGACATCGGCCGTAATCAACATGCGTGGCACTGTCTGCGTTTTACACATGCGCCATGCCATTTTTCCGGTGATTAAGTGTTGATAAGTCTATAAATTAACTCGAACACACGCGCGTCTGCCGACGAACGCTAGTCAGACAATGGCCGGGCCGAAACGGAGGGCCTGTCCACAGTGCAGTGCACGGCCCACATGTCGGCTACGCAATGTATATGCTAAGAGCCCATCCACATATATTAATCATGCGGCAAAGACATTTACATCTGTATGGCCAAAGCTGAATGCCCGATTGTGGGAAAAACTGTTGCCTGCTTAATGATTCGAACCCGAAAAGAAAGCGTGGAAAGCTAAACAAATTAGAAATTCAAGCTGGGCTACGCATTGCAGGTGATTACAATATCAGGAATTCAACAAATAACATCCTTTGTTGTGGCCACAATGAAATAACCAATAGTTAAATGATAATTGATTATTGTGCGTGGGAACCGATTGCGTGAAATTCTCGTGGGTAAAATTAACCCAATTAGAGTTGGTGGACAAAACTATTCAAAATATTTGAAGCTTCAAAATTGATCAACAAATAAAGGAGATTTTTTTTTAATAAATCCTGGATAAACTTTAAAGATGGAAAATGTTTTTCAAAATTTAAATGGAAGTTTTTCACGTTCACGTTATCCACTTTTCTTTTCCACCTAACAAACAATTACGCAATCAAGAATTCAAAAACAAACCGAAAATACTGGTTACAAAACCCAAATCATTTAATAGTTGCTTGCATTGCGTTGAAAGCGTGGGAACTAGATCTACCGCAATTAAAAATTTAGGATCCGAAATTAAGCTAAATTAAACGGAAATTATTGCCCAACCACCAAATATAAATACAGAGAATTTTTCGACAGCCCTCAGTCCAAGTCAGATTTGAGAACCGGAAAGAAGTAAAATGTTATTCAAATACTTGCGAAAAGCAACTCCAACGGATTTCCTGACTTCGAAGGATATCTTTCACTACTTTGACTACGGATTTCTCTGGATGGGTTGGCAAACTCCCACAAAGTGCAGCTTTTTTTACTACATTTTATCAATATTTGTTTATTTCTGGTGCAATTGTTACATACCGATCGGTATCATAATCAGTTTCCTTATGGAAATGGAAAACTTTAACACCAGTGACTTGCTCAGCGTTCTTCAACTGCTTTTCAATTCATTCGGAACGCCTATTAAAATCGTGTTTATACGGATGCAAATCCGTCGATTTCACAACGCCAGAGAGCTTCTAAGTAAAATGGATAACCGTTGTACTTCGATTTCGGAAAAATATGAAGTCCATCGATGGGTGGTTAACTGCAACAAGGCCTACCTTATCTACGAGTGTATATATGTGGTATACACCATATTCACATTTTTATCTACCGTCTTTTCGGGAGTTTTGCCATGGGGCATTTATAATCCCTTTATAGATTGGCGAGAAAGCAGAACGAATTTCTGGATAGCTGCCCTTCACGAATTGTTTATCATGATTTTTGCTGTTTCTAACACCGTTCTGACCGATATTTACACATTGATCTTCGGTTTCATGTTACGTGTTCATATCAGACTTCTCAGAATTAGAGTCGAGAAGCTGTGCACGAGTCCTGATAAGAGCGACAAGGAAAATCTGGAGGATTTAATTAACTGCATCGAGGATCACAAGCTCATCAAAGAGTGAGTAATAATATTATGACAATACCCGTTTCACAATTTCATATTTCAGATGTGCTCAGACTATTCGGCCTATTATCAGCCGCACTATTTTCGTTCAGTTTCTATTGATTGGAGCTTCTCTGGGTTTTTCCATGATAAATCTGTTCTTGTTTGCTGATTTTTGGACCGGTTTGGCCACTGTAGCTTATATAAATGGCCTGATTACTCAGACGTTTCCGTTCTGCTTTGTTTGTGACCTCATCAAATGGGATTGCGAACTTCTGGAGGTAGCCATATTTCATTCCAACTGGCTTGACAAATCGCAAACTTACAAGTCGACATTGAGATTTTTCTTAAAAAACGCTCAAAAGTCTGTAGTTTTCTCGGCTGGCGCTGTTTTTCCCATATCCATTAGCACAAACATACAGGTAACCTTGCATTCCTTAAATATTTCAAATCTTATATACGATTTTGATTATTTTCAGGTGGCAAAATTGGCATTTTCCGTTTTCACTTTAGTGAATCAATTATACACGGGAGACAGAATGAATTAAAGTAGAAGCACCCAAGATAAAATACACTTATTTATCTTTTAAAACTATTTCCAAAAGCAGTAAAATATATTAATGTTGACAATAGGGAACACTTTCATCACAAAATAAAAGGTTTAAAAGAAAAGACTATAATAATTATTAGATTTATGTTCGATAATAACTTGTTTGCGTTTAGCTTTCATAATTTTAATTAACTTTTTACATGAGTACATGCAAATAATTCCCTTCTGGGCAACCCTGTGGTCACCTTTGTGATCGAAACACAGAAAGCTGACAAGTTGAAGAGGGATTAGGTCCAACTAGCAACACAAATGACCTAAGTACATATGCACTCTGCTTAGCTCTAAAATCAATTTAGTGTAACCGCAAAGGAAACATATAGATAACAACAACGCCTACCAATTTTGTGGCATATCTAGAGCAATTTAGGGGAAAACAAGCAAGTAAACAAACAAATTGAGAGGCCAATGGAGTTCGGGTGGATGGCAAAGTCAATTAAAATTCAGGAAAATTAATTGCTTAAAATACGCATAGCATTGATTTACGAATTCGCCAAGGACATCGTAAACAAGAAATCTGTTTTAATTGCGGTCGGATGGAGGGAACAAGGACTCCAGACCCATGACCCATTCCTGGGACACAAGTTCAAAGTCTAGCCGCTAGCGAAAATATTCCTTCGTCTGTCTTTGATGTGCAGCGGAAAGGTCGGTCGACTGGCTGCCTGGCTGGCTGAAATGTCTGGAAAAGGAGCGGCGTATTCGGGATTTACATAAGCCCAAAAATGGAGGCCAAGGCAAATGGCACCTAGCAGAAGACTCGCAGATGCAGAGCGCTCATATTTAATGGGTGCCGCAGCGAAAGGCCTGCGGAAAATTAATTTGCATTTTTCCCCAAACAACAACAGACAGCAGCAGCAGCAGCAGCAGCCTCCTCGTTGTGGCATACATTTGCAATTGAGTTGGTACATACTTCCACTTGGAACTTGCCGCACGGCAAGTTCTCCGACACAAGTTTTCACTTGCCCAATTCGCTGGGGCATTGTGGTGTTTTCGGTGGATCCTGCGGCTTCGCATTGTAGGTGGTGTAGCTGTTTCCATTTCGCAGAAGGCAGGCGCCAAAAACTTAATTCGCACAAATGGCCCGGGGGCCAAACACAGTGGTTGTCTCCGGCCGAAGACAAAAAAGGAGTCGAATGGAGTGGTGAAGAGGGGGAGTGGAGGGGAATCCTTGCTGGTGGCACAGAACGCGGCACGCGTAGACGCATTAAATCAAATTAAAAGCCCCGCTAAAAGAAGTGACAAAACCCCAGGTAAATCCCATTTTAAATACAAATAGCATGCGTATTCCTCGAGGGCCTGCGGATGCAGGAGTCGTCTGTCTGGCGTGAGTGGTTTTGCGGATTCCCCTCTTCCCTCCCTTTTCCCCTCATTTCCCCAGCAAGGACTCCTCTCGTCCTTTTCGCTGGTCGCTGGCACACATTTTTCCGCAGCTTAGCGGGCGGCGCTTGTAATCTTAGTTTAAGTTGATTGTACGACACACACACAGATAGGAAAAGCCGAGGTGGAAAATCGGGTTGGGGAAAAGCGAGCGGGGAGGGAACACGATCCCGGTAAAGTGCTTTAAATAAAAATTTGTGGGCCTGTCTTAGAGGTGGCGAATGTGTTTGTTTGCCGGCGCATAAGCCAAGGGCTAAGGGTTCGTTCCCGGCCAACTCTTTTTGGAGTTCGGAACGGTCGGAAAGTGCTTTTAGCGTAATTGCAAGTATTCCCCGAAGGTGGGCCCGAAACACTTCCCCAGTGTGCCTGCGTTTTCAGGTCGTGCCGCTTTTCAATTAAGCCGCATCGCAGACTTCGCTCTACCCGCCTGTTTTGCTGTTAGTTTTTTATTAGTTTTTAACCTTACGGCCTGGCACAATGCAAACTCCATCGTTTTGGGAGGACAAGTGGGGGGGACAGGTGGAGGGTGGTTCAACCAAAATCAACTCGTTCAATCAATCAGAAGATCAATCAAAAAAATTCAATCACCATCAATTGCAGGCGGGGCAAAGTAAACAAACGTCCGGCGTGGCTGAAAAATATAGCACAGATTTCGGCTCATTCATTAACCCAAAAAGGCCTTTGGCCCAAAAGCCGAAAATTGCAAATCGGCAGTTCACTTCAGTTCAGGTCGGCTTAGCTTACTTGACTATTCGGGCAAAAAACGTTTCGTTTCGATTTGGTTTTGTTTCATTTGGTTTGGCTTCGTTTTGGCTTTTTCTGTGTAGTTTACGACGCTTTTTCTTTTTAGCATATATATGACTTGGGTACATGTGTCTGTGCGGCTTGTAAAAATCACTTTTTAAAGCAATTCGGGGCGACAGATACACGCATTGAAGCGTGGGCACTTTTGCGTTTTCCAGGACCAAACGGAAACGAAGTCAGCCAGCCAGCCAGCCAGCAATCCAGGCAGCTATCCAGCCAGCATATTTATTTTATTCCAGCTCGTTCTGGCAGTGCATAAAACTGTTTTAAACATGTCGTCCTGCGCTGCTGCCACTGCTGTTTTTGTTGGCCGCCCTTTTTATGCCAACTGTAAGCGATCTGCACAGAACTGACACAAATACGGGGCCGCTGAAGTGCTGCGCTGAAGGGCGGAAGCCGAGTGTCGGACAAGCAGATTTAAACCGTTTCGGTTTACCTGCCACCACCACACCACCCACTTTCCAGTACCCACCACCCCCACACCCCACTCGCCACACATTCCCACACTCGTCCCGCAAATATATGTGCGCATATATATTTGCGTGCACACGTACATATTTAAATAAAACGCTTTCGCAGGACAACGGCGCACTTTGCGCAATCACAGAGGAGCTCGGCCAGTTGAGGGGCAGTTTTCCACCCGGCAGCAGGACGAGAATGGCAGGCGACGGCTGAGTGAAGCAGCTTCCATTGATTTCACACAGCTTTGGTGAAGAAAAACATATAAAAGCCGTTGCAGTGCCACAAAAAACGAGGTAAGCTTAACATTATAAAAAAGAGAGGAAGGTTTAGTCGAGGGGTACGAAATGGGAGCTACCCTGGGTGCAGTGTCCCAAAAAAACCTTAAAATAATAAAAATCAAATGCGACTTGCCATTCAAGTCTTTAATATTTTATTTATGTATTGTGACACTGATATGTCCATATTGGATTACAATTTTTAACAAGCACAAAAATTTGTTTGCTAACATATTTACATTTTTTGCTGCACATTTGCGAATTTTATTCGAATTATTTTAATACCGAAAAACATAAACCACTTTTACAAACTTTTTGTGTAATTATTTTTAAGGAAAGAAGCGGATAAAAACATTCTACACTCAAACGAATTACCTGTCAATATTCATCAGTGAAACTATAGTATACAACGTTATATGGTCTGGCAGTCTGCCCTCATCCCTGTGGAGCTATTTGCACAAATACAATATACCCCACTACCCTGCAAATACCTGTTATAAAAGGAAACCCCCACAAACACAAATGCAAATACAAATAGCGCCACAAAAGTGGAAGGGGGGCGAAAGGCGGTAAGAGAAAATGTTGTCGTCACGTGGCCGCTGCATAAGCTGAAATGAGTTACATCAAATGCTTTTGGCTTTCACAGGAAATGGCAGCGCAATGCATTTTTATTTACATCTAAGGACAGAAGAAGAGGGAGCGAGCAAGCCATTAAGGAATTGCTCGGCAATTGAAATGGCCAAGTCAAATAAAAGGCAACCAGACATTTCAGAGTGCCACGGGCTTGGGGGTGTGTCATGCATTTGATTAAAATTAAAAATACTCGGACCGAGCCAGGGCTTTGATGTAGACCACAGTGCGATATCAGCGGGATATCCATCGCTCCCTTTGGCTTGGCTTCGCTCCTCCAGCAATCCTCCTCGCTCTCCAGTCTCCCATCTCCAGATCTCCGTCCCCTGACATTGATTTATGTGGGGCAACCTAATGAAAAGACCATTGCAGGCTGTATCAGCTGGCCCAGGTAAGCGTTAAGAGTTCGATTAAGCTGAGCGAAAATAAATTACAAGGTATTAGGGGCCAAAAACGAGTGCCAAAAGTGTTTTTGCGCGTTGCTGCGTTACGCATACGCCGCGTTGCCCAGCAACAACGACAACGAGCTCGAGTGCCTCGCTCTCAGACGGCAATCCATCATCAATTACGATTAAATCCATCAGGAATTATGCGTCAAATTGATTGAAAGTCAGTTGGCACATTCTAGTCGGGTCGGACACTGAATTATGGCATTAAATCAATTTTCTTTCTGTTAAATCAATGGCGCAACTATTGCGCCAGTGGAACTTGGGCCATTGGCCCCGGCATTTGGCTTCGCTAGGGGCATTAGCATTAGCCGCTGCCGTCACTCAAAGTCAGTCAGCTGGCTGAGCTGAGCCAAAGAAGCTGGAGAGTCTGGAGAACTGGAGCTGAAGTTGAGCTGATGCCTCGACTACTGCAACTTAAATCGCCCAGACTCCGGCTCAAGTGACGGCGACGGCACGAAACTTTTGCCGGGCCAATAAAGTACGGCCAAGTGATGGCTCCTTCGGATCCGTACAGACGGGCAGTCCGGGCAAGCCGAGTCCGTCTCGACACAGTGACGCATCGACCGGCAGTCTCCGGGCTGCAAGCCCCTAAGAAATGAAAATATTTTCTTGCAATTGCGATGGGAAAAAAAAGAGGACGAAGAATCCCAGCGATGGGGAAGCATAAAAAAGCAGACCCAATGGACAGAGGGAAAACGGCAAATCGCAGCGCATCCCAGAATCTGGAGTCTCTGCAAGCGGAGCGCGTCAATTGACTGCAATAATTCTGGGAAATGTGCAAAGTGTAAGGCTGGACTGTTGGACTGTTGGACTGTTGGACTGTTGGACTGTTGGACTGTCGGACTCTCCGGCTGCCAAGTAATTTATTTATCAAGTTTCAAGCTGCAGCTTGAAAACTTAATACGCCGCCAAATTGAATGCACAACACAGGAGGAAAGGCAGGA